AAACCCAATTCATTGAGATGTCAGCCATAGGTTCGGGTAGTTTTGGGACAGTATTTAAAGTAAAGCATAGATTGGATGATAAGATATATGCCGTTAAAAGAGTACAATTTGGGGGTAAATATTATAAATAAACGTTTAATTTGTTTATTAAATATAAAACTTATTTTTCATAGATTTTAGTAAAGAAAAGAAACAAAAGATTTTAAAAGAAGTAAAAAGTTTGGCAAAACTGGACTCAGAATATGTGGTAAAATATTATCACTCATGGCTTGAGTCCAATCATCTCTTCATTCAAATGGAGTTTTGTTCACAAAATCTTAAATCTGTTCTCAAAGACAAACCCATTGTCTTTGAGAGACAACCGGAAGACCACATGAATAATTTGTTTGAGTTTTTCATTTCGTGTGAAATATTGAAAGAAATCTTAGAATGTGTTCAATATTTACACGAATCCAAACCTCCTGTCATTCATCGGGATCTCAAACCCGAAAACATATTAATTGATCCCAACATTAGATCCAATCGTTGTGTAAAACTGTGTGACTTTGGTTTAGCCACTGATCACAACATCGACGAACACACTGCCAGCCGATACGGCCATACGGAAGGTGTAGGCACTCGAAGATATATCGCACCCGAAGTATATGCGGGTAAATATAACCACAAATCAGACATTTATAGCCTCTCTATAATTGGCGAACAGTTATTCTCTATTAATCTTCAATCGTAAGTATTGTACAAAATGGTAAAAATCATTTACTTTTAATATAATTATGTATTTATTTAAAGTTCGCAATCATTTAAAGCCAAAGAATCCGAATTCAAGGAACACATGCTATGCCTATACCAGACATTACTGGCAATGATGTCAACACCTAATTGGAGACAAAGGCCTGAGTGTCGGCAAATGTTGGCCAAACATAACGAGTGGTCTATTGATAAAACTGTTATCAATAATTATAAGGACTTTAATTTAGTGTTAAATAGACTTAAATCTAATAATAATTCCGCTTTCTATGACATTTTAATGTGTAAATTAAATACTAGAGAAGTGTCCACTGATTTGCCCCTTACTATACGTCGTCCACCCGTCGAGAGCTATAATATTTTCAATTATTTCAATTTATATATAATTATATTTTTATTGTTTATAATGATTGCATTTGTAATCAATTTGTTTTTATCTCTTTATTAATAATTTAGGCAAATATATATTAGCTAGCATAGTGCATACGTAATTACCATGAACATCCAAAACTAATATAAGAATAATAAAATTATTATATTAATACTTACTGAATAAATATGCATTATTTTGATTTATTAATTATCAATTAAATATGACAAATTCTCTCGTGTGAGAAAAATTACATTTTTATGAATATTATACAAAACTACATTATTAATATTGTTATGTGGTGAGCCCTTACCCGAGCTGCACTCCACAAAACTATGTCATGAGTGGAGGTCTTACCGGACCTCTCCGCTCACAACTGCTCACTTCAATCTCATTTGTTGCAATTGTTAATCAAATATATTAGTATATGTTATGGGCGATTGCCCGATTCGTTTTATTTATTAGTTAACATATGTGACTATATTTCTAATGTAGTTCCCGAGCGGTGGAACTTATTGAATAATTAGATATTAAGCTGTACTTATAATGTTGTTCCCGAGCGGTGGAACCATTATGTAAAACACTCATTCACTTTGACTATCTATAACGAATTTCCCGAAAGCGGTAGTATTACGTCAGAGCCTACGTAATGTGCGGAGTTCAACTTAACACATGTATACATAAGGGTCTAGAATGTGAGTGTGCGCATTAAGAGTACGCACTCGTGTGACTAATCTATGGGAGTTTCCGAGGGATTGAGTCTTACGTTAGAGCTTATGCTATGTGTGAAGTCCAACAACACACATGTATACATAAGGGTCTAGAATGTGAGTGTGCGCATTGAGAGTACGCACTCGTGTGACTAATCTATGGGAGTTTCCGAGGGATTGAGTTTTACGTCAGAGCTTACGCTATGTGTGAAGTCCAACAACACACATGTATACATAAGGGTCTATCATTGGGTGTGCTTGCCGTGAGAGGGCGCGCACGTGTTGCTACTCGAGAGGCGCTACTAAGAGTGAGAGTCTTACGTCAGAGCCTACGCTATGTGTGAAGTCCAACAACACACATGTATACATAAAAATCTAACATTGGGTGTGCTTGCCGTGAGAGGGCGCGTACGTGTTGCTACTCGAGAGGCGCTACTAAGAGTAAAAGTCTTACGTCAGAGCCTACGCTATGTGTGAAGTCAACTACACACATGTATACATAAGGGGTTAACGTTGGGTGTGCTTGCAGTGAGAGGGCGCGCACGTGTTGCTACTTGAAGGGCTGTCCCGAGAGAGGGAGTATTGGTATTCCTTATTTAATACTGGGTTAATACTGATTGTTAACTACATAGATGGCGTTTACTTTACGTCATTACATATTCAATACCATAGTATTAGTTGAAGGAATAATGCGCTTACTATTGTCTTGTGTGCTGTGTCTTCGGTCTATGCGATCCGGGTATCACGTCTATGCTGTCCGTGTATTACGTCTATGCGATCCGGGTATCACGTCTATGCTGTCCGTGTATTACGTCATTGCGATCCGGGTATCACGTCTATGCTGTCCGGGTATTACGTCAATGCGATCCGGATATTACGTATAGTCCCATTAGGGTTCACGTCTAGTCCGATCGGTTACGACCCGTCCAAGATATCTGTCTGACCACTTATAGCACAACTTATAATAAGCACTTTATTGAATAAGTGAAAACACTTTTTACTTTAAAGTAAACTTTATTGCATTAAAAACTTATTAAACTATACAATGATTTGTTATGGTATATATACTAATTGTAAGAAAATTTGGGCGTTTACAAAAAAGCATTATTATAGTTACTAAAATTTTAGACCAAAAAATCTTATTGATAAATACAATTTAATTTTGACATTGATTGTTCTGACATAACTTGAAGGACTTATAATTACAGTGTTTTTAGTTAGTTATCAAAATGTTCAATATTTTCAATGCTAAACTTTTGCAATTTATTTTAAACCTTTACTGTATTTTGTCTTGTAACTGTAAATGTAAATGTAAATTATAAATGTATATTGTAAATGTAAATTTTAAACTGTTTTCTGTCTATTAATTAAAAACACTATATATTAATATAAACTTATTTGTCATTTACAAATGACATTCAATTTAATACATTTACTAAATAATTCTAAACCTCTACTGTATTTGTGAACAAACTTTCTGCCTATTTATCAAAATCACTTGAAATTTACTGTCAATACTTGATATGTATTTAATTAATGTATTTTAGTTATTTCCCATTTATCTGCTTATTATTAGTAAAACTTTAAATTTTGGTTTCAAATTACATGACAAAATCAAATTAAGTACATTAGTACTAATAGAGTAAATTTACACATTATTATGTATTCAGTAATCAGTATTTAGTATTTACTAAAAAACTTTTATTTTACGGCATATTTATGTTTGTTTAATTAAGGCCTTTAATAACTAATTGTAATAAATGGTTAACTTTATTATGTATAATGTTTGTGATATGCCGTCGGCTGAGTGTGGTCTATGGCCGGCCTAATAGTGTTATGGTATGCCTCAACTTATATTAATATAATGAATACAATTAACTATAATTTCTCTCTTGATTTTAAATAAAACATTTATTAATGGGGAGTATATAAAGTAAATACAAGTTTTGATTATTTTACATGCAATGTATTGTTAATTGACACACCTAATAATTTTAGTGACCAACCGTACAAGTTTTGGACACTTTTCTGTATTTGATAATAGCAATAAATTAAAGAAATAAATATTTAAAAACACTAGTCTTAAATTATTGTTTACCACGTATTCACGTCAACAGATGTCCCACATATCGGGCGCTTTTCACAACTCATTTGATTAGATACATAGTTAATTTGATTTTAAATCAGAAAATATATTTTTCAATTTACATTAATTTATAAATAACTTTATTTATCATATAAATTAATAATTATTTTATCACAAATATGATAACTTATAATCACTAGTGTCTGGTATTACACAAACAACGAGTACTTTATGTGATCATCAAAACCGTTTATAATAAGTATGATAAAGATTATACATCCAAATATTAATAGTATCTAGTTGTTATGTATGAGTTTTTTCATTTTTGCATTGCGATATTCATATGATGGTAATATATTATGATATATTTTACTATTAATCAGTGTTTCCATTAGTGATCACTGATTATAAGAACTATTGAAAGGGTTATATTAAAGTGTTTATTCATACATCATATCAATATATAACAGATATATTTTATTCCGGTGTGATTACTATTTAATATTAAAAGTGTTAATAATTTAATATTATTGAAACTTATTATTTAATCCCAAATCAATTTATTTTATATTAACTTTTTGTTTTGTTTCGTATTTTATTCTTATTATAGTTTATGTAAAAATGGATGATTTATTTAAAAAGTTTGCAATTTTTGATAAAATTTCAATTAATACTAGAGAAAATATTACAAAATTATATGTTTTTATTGATTGGGATAATAAATATAATGTATTATTTATTACAACCGATGATATAATCTATGGTTTGGGTAATAATAGAGATTGATGTTTGGGTTTTGGACACAACAGTTCTATACTATCACAACAACTGATCCCAGAATTATGTCATCAAAACATACAATACTTTGTCAATGGATGTGATTTTGTGTTAGCAGTAAATAATAAGAATATGATATATGGGTTTGGGAACAATGAAATGGGACAAATGGCTCAAGGTATAATGAACGAGAATAAATACTGTGTAAAACCAGTGTTATTCAAATATTTTAAGGATAAAAATATTGTACAAATCACTTGTGGTCGTCGACACGCATTGGCCCTCACAAGTGATGGCCGGGTGTATGCCTGGGGTGCGAATCTTAATAACCAAGTCTGTGATGATAATAATCGCTGTATATCTACACCAATTGAATTAAAATACATTAATTATGATAATATTCAATGCGTTTATTGTCACGACATCTCCTCATTTGCCATCACAACCGATGGACATGTATTCAGTTGGGGTAACAATAAAGACAATAAATTAGGACACAATATAACCGATGGTAAAGTAACTAAACCCCGATTAATAGATAATTTACATAATGTAAAAACAATTAATTGTACACAATTTGGGACATATTTTTTGACACCAAATGGTTTATACTTTTGTGGAGAATATTATGTCAATAATAAACAAATGGTTGAAAATATTCCGAAACAAATACTATCTAAACATGAATTTCAAAATATACAACAATTTTATTCGTGGAATCGATTGTATAATAATTTTCTTTGTGTTTTAATAAATGGCAAAATATACAAAATATCAAATGAACACAAAATAAATGCAACAAATTATAATGATTTTACCGACATTTACGCCAATGAATACCAAATAACTTATAATACAATTGATTTTAACAAAATAGATGATGAAATGACATTAATTGGAAATAAAAGTCAATTTATTAAAATTGATAAATTAAATACTAGTTTTAGTGAATTATTACAACCGATGGCCAGTCATAGCAAAACAAAGCAAACAAGTGATGGTAACTATAAAACCCAATTCATTGAGATGTCAGCCATAGGTTCGGGTAGTTTTGGGACAGTATTTAAAGTAAAGCATAGATTGGATGATAAGATATATGCCGTTAAAAGAGTACAATTTGGGGGTAAATATTATA